GCCGTACGTCTTCTTTGGGAGGCTTCACGCAGGGCCGTCGTCGGAAGAAGGACGTTGAGAAAGTCGAAGAGCAAGGCAGCGTAGAAGAAAAGCCACCCATAAGACACATCAGTTATTAGACATTGAAATCTCGCGATAATACAAAACATCACAATCATACAAATTGCTCCACATGATGCGAACGTTATTGTTGGGTGGTACGAGACGGGATGACCGCCTTCGTGAGGTTCAATTACTCTCAGGAGAACTAGTCTACATCGAAACAAGCATCCGCCCGAGCGGAAGAGAGGTGTTGATAACAACGGATGAATGGAGATCGGTATAACCTAATTTGACCACGCTATCCGGGGAGGCAGGGAGGGGATGGGGAGATGCTTAACCCTCGAAGGTGAAGCTGGCACCGAGCTGTGGCATGTTAGCATGTTATTGGCGTTTGCGCTGGACACAACATAATGACCAACCTTGTGGGTAGCCTGGTCAAGCTTCTGGGTATCAAAAGAGGCGCCGAGGCCGAGGGTGACACCAGGGCGGAGGAGGACGTTGTAGGCGAGAGCGGCAACACCACGGTCGTTGACCTTGACCTTGGCGAAGGAGACGGGGTCGATGCGGTACTTGGAGGCAACCTCAAGGCCGACGTTGTTGCCGGTCTTGGAGTTCCAGGTGGCCTTGGCACCGGCCTCGACCTGGCTGTTGACCTTGTGGTAGTAAGAGGCAGCGAAGATGCTGAGGTTGTCGGTGGCGGTGATGGCAGCGGTGTAGGCAGGGGCGGTGAAGCCGACGGCGGCGGAGTAGCCGGTGATGGCGGCCTTGTTGACGTCGTAACCGGCGGAGGCACCGGGCGAGGAAACCCTCGTGGCCGACGACGGCGTCAATGTTGGCGGTGGGGCCCTTCAGGAGGTCGAAGAAAGGCACGGCCGTGGACGTTGGGCTGCTTGAAGTGCAGGTTGAACTTGGCGCCCTTGGCCTGGGTGGCGGGGAGGAAGGAGAAGACACCCTCGGCCTTGAGGGCCTTGGCAAGGGTGTCAGCGAGCTCGACCTTGGTGTCAAGGGCGTTGGCAGTGTTCCAGGTCTGGGTAAGGGTGAGGCCTGTACGGTGATAGAACATTAGCAGCTGTGCGAATCCGGGGGGATTCATGCGCCGAATTGGATCGGTGTTCCGTAGCCGAAGCCGGAA